CTTTTACTTGAGCCCATCCAATAATTCATTCGAGTACAAAAAAGCGGTTTGTTCTAACCGTTTGCGGTGATGGATCAGCTCATCAAATCTCCTGCTTTCCGCGGACAGAGCTGGAAGCTTGCACCCCAGTTACCTGTACTTGGAACAGCAATCGAGGGCGAGGGTGGGGAGCATTTCGTTTCTATTCCCTAAGTTTGAGAGCCGTTAATCGGCCATCGCCATGATATGGTGGTGTGTGATGATGGGATTATGTTCGAAATCATAATGTATATGGTATTCTAAGCGGAGAAGAGACATTCTACCAAGAAGTTAGACAACTTGAAATTTTAATCTTTTCATCAATTACCATCAAAAAGTGACCTTGTTTGGATTGAAGCTTTTCAAATAAAAATTGTATTACATTTTTAATGATCACAATTTTTAATTATTTTTCTTATTTTATATACATCAGATCAAATTGCTGTAATATATATATATATATATATATATATTTACAAAAGCTTTAGAAAATATTTATCTAGAATTTTTGAGCCCCATATTGACATAATTTTATCCATCGCTTTTCCTTTAGATATCATACCACTAGGATAAAAATTTTCCTAGTAGTAAAAACTATGGTTGTAATCGAGCCAAGTCAAGATACTCAAACTCGAGTCGACTCATATATGCCTAGGTTCGAGCTCGAGCTCGAGTACAAAAAATCGATACTCGAAACTTGACTCGAAGAACTCGTTTTAAACTCGAGACTCGACTCGATAAGGTTCGATCTTTAGTCAAGTCTTATCAAGTCGAGTCTAATCAAGTTTTTTGACTCGACTCGACCAAAAAATGAGTTATTACTTTTTATAATTATGTTATTACTTTATTGCCATTATGAAATTTTATTATAAAGAAGAGTTTATTGTAAATTTCATAAAACTTATACTCATAATGATCATTTTATAATTATAATACATTTATATTATTTAAATACCCCCGACTTGACAAGTTTCGAGCATCAAGATGTTGGCTCGAAACTCGACTCGAATGAAAATCGAGTAGCTCGAGACTTGGCTCGAGCTTGATCAACCTGAGTTCAAACCAAGCCGTTGACCGAGCTACTCGATTACATCCCTAGTAAAAACCACGAGGAGTTAAGTCGTTGGACTGTGATCCAGTGCCCATGCCCCACCCCCGCACGCTAGGTGCACCATGAGGACATATATTTTGTCTTTTTTTTTTGGTCGGTCGGAGCCCGGAGGATATCCTAAAAATGGAAACATTAGCCGAGCTGAGCCGAAGAATCCTAAATTCCAATTTGTCATTGCCTAATCGAACCAAGCCAAGCTGTGAGAATGGAAGCGTGTTCCCGCAGGGAGGCACTACTGTGTGAAAACTGAAAAGAGGCAGGTGGTGGAATATCGGTACCCACAAAATGATGGTAAATCCGTATGAAAACCCCACAAATGATGGAACTCAAAATTTTGGGTGAAAAATAACATAAGAGACGAAAAAAGAAACCTGAAAAACAAAAAGGAAAGCAGACGCCTCCAGAAAAACCCAAAAAATAAAAAAGGCAAAAAAAATAAAAAAGATAAAAAGCGAAGAAAGCGAAATGAGATTATTGTGATTTGTGAGGGAGAGAGAGTGACAGAAACAACAGAGGAGAGGAGACATCTCTAAACACAAACGGAAAGAGAAAGCAGGGAGGGTGACGTCCATCTCCCCAGTCTTAGTGATGGCGTGATTTACTTTTGCTTTTTCCCTCGACAGGAATCTTTGAAAATCGAAAGCACCCCCCAAAAAACAAAAGATGGACCCCAAAAAAAAAAAACATTTGCTACCTCAGATTTCAGAACTAAAGTGAAAGAGGTTGTTTGCTTTTGATTTGAGCGCTCCGCCAAAGTGGTACTACTACTGCCAAAAGACCCTTGAGTACCCGCCAAGAGAAAAAAGAAAAGCAAAATCAATTGTCACGCTTGGTGGAAACAGTCTACTCCACACACTTTGGATCTAGGAGTTTTTTAAATATATTAAAATTTTTAAAAGTACTATAAAAGATATCCTAAAAATAGTCTAAATTTTTTTAAAATATATTTTAAAAACTCTACTACTTTTAAATATTCTAAAATATTTTTTAAAAATATCTCAACATATACTCTAAAAAACTCTACTACAGTAAAATTTTTTCAAAAACACCTCAAAAAACAGCTAATCCAAATGGAAGTATATTTTTATGGATTTAGAGAGAATGATATTTGCATGGTCTTTTCAGAAAAAATTTAACTTTTTTTTATGAAGATATTTTTAAATTATTTTTACTTACATGTATCAAATTATTATAGTATTTTTTTTACAAAAACTGCTAAAATAAAAATCCAAACAGGAGTAGTTAACACTAGTGTGTTTGGATAGGAGATTATATGAAATAATTATTGTAGTACTTTTTATGATTTAATATATGTGAAATAAAATGATGATTAAAAAAATAAAAGTAAAAATTATGTTTGTGATATGAGCAAATAATTTTTTTGCCAAATCATGATTATATAAACACACTCGCTCAGTTAAACCAAATTATGGCGTTACAGTTTGCGTATTGGTTGTGAAAGTCAACTTCGTTTCTCCATTTCCAACCGTTTTGAATTACATTAAGCAATTGCTGAAAAGAGCACCATTCTTTAAAAAGTATACCAATATAATGAAGTTAATACATTTTAAGCAGTAAAGATTGAAGAACTTTCAGTTTAAGGCAAAAGATTAGTTCCGCAAAAACGAAATATAAATGCTTTATTATCGCACGAATAACAAAGTCATTACGTGAATGCTTTATCTTTATGGGTTTGGTTGACTGGTGCCCATGAAAGACGCATTAAGAGGGATTTTATGTGTGCATTATTTTGGTTGACAAGTGAGTTTGAGGAAATATCTACATGGCAATAAGAATGTGTTTTAAGTTAGATATAACTTAGATTGACCAAATGTTTGGGTTTTTATTTTTTGACATTTTAACAAAAAGTAGATTATATTGATTTGATGCATATAATATAAAAATGTATTCACGAAAAAAGGTAAAAAAAAGTTTTTCTTTAAAAAGCTACAATCCAAACAAGGTCTCGAGCTCAAATTACAAAACTCGTGCTCCGCTCACATATACATTGGGACTTTGAGCTTAATTTGAGCTTGGTCCAAATTTATCAATATATAATAACTATGTGTTTAATATTTATATTTTGTTGTGAAAAAATTATAACATTATTATTATTAAATTAAACACATTATTATTCGTGTATACATGATATATGTAATTATATAACTTAATTTCACAAGTTGGCTTTAATCGAGCTAAATGTAATGAAGCTCGAGCTTGGCTCTTAATTAAATCGGGTATCATATTTAGGCTAAATTTTTGCTTGGCTTACTTATATAAAAAGTATTGATTCCAAAATTTTCAGTCCAATTGGGCAAATTCATTCATTGACGAGTGCTAATTAAATACCGGTAATTATTATTATATATATTTTTACAATAATAATATTTGTATAACCTAATTCATCATATTTTAAGAGGGAGGAGTTTAAAGAGAACGTATAAAGGGCTAGCAGGTTTATGAATTCGACTAGATTAAAAGAATTTGTTTTGAAATTTTTCATTATAGTAGGGGTTCAAACCCTCCTAACCTATAGGTGGTCACGGAGTCAAAACTCGATAGTTAAATACTTGTTAATGAAGTATTATTAGTCGCTTGTTATTTACTCTTTCTCTCCCCTATTTTGATGGTCATTGTTTTTTTTTTTTTACATAATTTAAGAAAAAGTAGTCAACTTTATTGAGAAAATAAATTTAGATTGTTATTTTTCTAAAACGTCCTTATATTAAATAGAGTACAACTTTATACTCCCTCCGTCCCACTTTGATAGTCTTGTTTTCCTTGTTCGTCTGTCCCTAATTGTAGTTCACTTTCCCATTAAGAAATGTAGTAATCTTTCAAATTGTCTAAAATACCCTTATTAAATATCTTGTTATTAATACATTGTTATTAAATACTAACCCACTACATTGAATACATTGAGGTTTTCCAATACTAACCCATTAGCTGTAACTGATATTAATTGGCACTCTTCGTGATTAGCATAAGGGTATTTTAGGAAATTATTAATCTAAATTTATGTTTCCAATCAAATTAATTACACTTTCTTAATCTGTGTGAAAAAAAAATCAAGACTAACAAAATGGGACGGAGGGAGTATTAATCATTCATGGAAACTTGAATTAATGATTTATGAGAATTTGAATTGATGATCAAGAAAGAATCAATCATCGTTTTATATTAATTGGGATATGTTATATTTAATAATAATTTATATTAAATAAGATAGTTTATATTAATAATAACTTATATTAAATAAAAATATTTTTAAAAATCTTTAATTTTTAAAATGAATTACAATCTGAGACAAATGAAAAGGAAAAACAGGACTGAGGGAATAATTATTACAAAATAAATGGACTATCAAAATGTACTAGCACTACAAATCTCTCTCTGTCTTTGGATAAATAAATGGATTGTACGTAGTGCTATTTTGGTGGGCGGTGGAATGGGGAAGTAATTAATACGGTCCTGTGTCCAAGAAAAGAAGCCTCCCGAGCGGGCCGCAGGCATTGACACTTGTGCCTGCTGCTCAAATGAAATGCGAGTGAAAGAGGAACAGTGGTGGAATGCACATTGAATGCAGCAAAAGGGATAAGAAAGTCTATTCACGGCTGGAGGAGTGTCCGTAGCGAAGAAAAAGCATCCTAAGGGAAAAGTAGAATTTGTTAGAGAGAGAGAAGGGTGAAGAAAAGCAGCCTGCTAATTAGTGAGTGAGATTTTCCCTTTGATTCTTCTTCCTCTTTAATTTCGTCCTCTCTCTTCTCTTCTGTTGAAGCCTAATTTAATTAGAGAGTCTCGAGTGTCGAGTCCTGTCCTGTCCTGTCGTCCTCCTTTCCCTTTCCCTTTCCCTTTCTCTTTCTCTTTCTCTTTCCCTTTCCCTTTCCCTTGGGGGGGTTTTGTTTTGTTTTTGGGCCTTTGACCTCTCCCCCTTCAATTCTCTCCGTCTCCTCTCTACACTCCTCGTTCCCTCGCTCTACTCTACTGGCCGTTAGAAAAGAAAAAAAAAAAAAAAAAGGAAGAAAAGAAGGAAGGGAAAAACACACAATCACATTCACACTCACAAATACACGCAGGAATCCTGACCAAAAACATTCTCTTAAATTCCAGAGTTAGATGTAGCGAATTTATGTGAATGTAAGCAGTTACAGATAGTAGTATGAGCAGCGCTAGACTGGGCGGCATTTTGCACTACCACCACCGGTTATGAATCCCACTGCTGCTGACCCAGCACCTCCGCCTCCTCCCCCGCCGCAGCCTCCGCGTTCCTCCTTCAGCTGTGACCGCCACCCTCAGGAACAATTTACCGGTTTCTGCCCCTCCTGCCTCTGCGAGCGCCTCACCACTCTCGACCAATCCTCTTCCAATCCTTCTTCCTCTTCTCGCCGCCCTTCCACCTCCTCTTCCTCCGCTGCCGCCGCCCTTAAATCCCTCTTCTCCTCCTCTTCCTCCAAGCCCTCCACCTCCTTTACCACCACCACTACTAACCCCCCGCCACAGCCCCCTCCTAAACCCTCCAAACCAGCCTCATTTTTCCCGGAGCTCCGCCGCACCAAGTCCTTCTCCGCCTCCAAGCACGAGGGCCTAGGCTTGAACTTCTCCGGCGCTTTCGAGCCTCAACGCAAGTCCTGCGATGTTCGTGTCCGCAACACGCTTTGGACCCTTTTCACTCTCGACGACGAGTCTAAAGTCACCACCTCCGCCAAACCCTCTACCTCTTCCTCTTCTTTAAATCCTCAACATTCCATCCTCACCAAAGATACCCATGATGATTTTGTGAACAAGCCCGTTTTTGAGTCCAAAGAAGAAGGAGAAGGAGAAGAGGAGCCTCAAAACGAAGAAAGTGAATGCAGTTACGATAGCAGCAGCAGCAGCAACAACAACAACAACAACAATAACAACAACATCGGGTCTGATGAAATCACCCCTGTAGCTGCAATTCAGGAAGCTCCTGTTGTGGAAGAAAGAGGAGACATCAATTTGGAGATCGTGGAAGAAGAAGACGAAGAGGTGGTGGATTTTAGTACCATAAAGCCCATGAAAGATCATATAGATCTCGATTCTCAGGCGAAGAAGCCTTCTGGAGGAGGCGGAGTGAGAGAAATTGCGGGGAGTTTCTGGTCAGCTGCCTCAGTTTTCAGTAAGAAATGGCATAACTGGAGGCGCAAGCAGAAGATGAAGAAGCGAAGCAACGGCGAGTTATCGGCTACATTGCCTGTGGAGAAGCCCATTTCCAGGCAGTACAGAGAGACTCAGTCCGAGATTGCGGATTATGGGTTTGGGCGGCGTTCTTGTGATACTGATCCTCGGTTCTCTCTTGACGCCGGGAGGATTAGCTTTGATGATCCCAGGTACTCGTTCGACGAGCCTCGGGCTTCTTGGGACGGGTACTTGATTGGGAGGAGTTTTCCGAGGATGCCACCCATGCTGTCCGTCGTGGAAGATGCCCCAGCTGTTCACGTTTCGAGGTCTGATTCTCAGATTCCGGTGGAGGAGCCCAATGTCCTTGGGATGAATTGCCCCGTTAATGACGATGAGGCTGTGCCGGGAGGGTCTGCTCAGACTAGGGAGTATTATTCGGATTCTTCTTCCAGGAGGAGGAAGAGCCTGGATAGGTCTAGTTCTATTAGGAAGACTGCGGCTGATGTGGTGGCGGAGATCGATGAGATGAAGGGGGCTTCTAATGCTAGGGTATTGCCTGCTAATCTGGACTATATGAATGGGACAAAGGTTATAGTTGCCGAAAGGGATTCCAAGGATGCAAACTCAAGTTCTTTGAGGGATGACTACTCTGAGACTTTTGAATTACGTAGTCTGAGAGATAATGCTTCGGTGGTTGGGAATGGAGAAGGAAAGGGGCCAAAGAAATCAAGGAGATGGAGTTGGAAAATATGGGGTTTTATACACCGGAGAAATGGTGGAAACAAGGATGAGGATGATGACAGGGATAGTAAAGCAAATGGGGTGGAAAGGTCATATTCAGAGTCTTGGCAGGAGTTAAGGCGGGAGGGTAATGGTGAAGTGAAAGATGGGATCAATAGAAAGGTGTTTCGGAGTAACAGTAGTGTGAGCTGGAGGAATTCAAGTTATATTGGGGGATCATTTGGAAGTGTGAGGAGATTGGGGATGGAGATGAATGGAAATGGCAAGAAGAGGAGAGACGACTTCATCTTGGAGAGGAATAGGAGTGCCAGATATTCGCCGAACAATGTGGATCATGGCCTCCTGCGCTTTTACTTGACGCCCCTGAGAAGCAGCAGCCGCAGAGGTGCTCCGGCAAAGAACAGGCAAAATGGCTCTCATACAATTGCAAGAAGTGTACTTCGGCTATACTGAGACTAAGGTCCTGAAGTTGTTTCTTTGGTTCCTTGTTCTTGTTTTGTCGTCTGATCTCTACTTATGTTGTCCATCATTTTTGGCTTTATTACTGCATTATAAATTATCTTGGTCATGCTAAATCTAACAATCTGGCGTCCAGAATACTTTACCAGTGAGCATTCTATCCTGATACTGTCTTTAGAAATTCCTTATCATGAATGTTACCCTTAACGTCCATACTTCGTCATGCTTGTTCTGGTCCCAAGCGGTCACCTTTCACTGTTATCTGTACGGTTGCTGATTGGTCAACCCCAGTCTGATCGGGCATTTTTTTGTTAGGAAGTAATCATTCTGTGTGAATTTTAAACCACTTATAGGGTGCTGTAGCGTCACAATATTGGAACAAATTATATCAGTCATCCCGTGTTGATGTGGAATTCGTAAAAATATGGTGATCAGCAGAGAATTTTCATAGCTCACGGTGGTCCATTTTCTAATTTCCAAGTTGTTCTTTGCTTAATTTAAATCTCTGTGCTTTGCATATTACCAAGAAGACACACTGAATCAATGTGCGTATTCCAAGTTGGGTGATGTTAATGTGCTGAAGGCATCAATTGATAAACAAGAACTGGTCAAGGAAAACATAAAGGGAACTTGTGAATAAAGACCAAGAACACCGGTCCAAGTTCAACCTTCAATAACCACTTGAGAGACAAACTCGGCCCTTCACGTAAGTGAAGGTCTTTTGCATAGACGGGTCTCCAAATCTAGAGTGAGCTTGAGGAACAGCTCGTTTTGGGAATAACTTTTCTAAAAGGTCCTTGAATAATTTGCACTTCAATATCCTGTACTCTACTTGTTTTGGCAAACTACTGAAGCCGGTTTCTGGGTCCATGCAACTTGGACAAGGTTAATTAATTTAATCTAAATCCTTATGCTGTGTTTCTGTAGTATGTGGATCTTAGAAGTGTCTGTTGCGTGTTTCATCATTGCAATTGGTTTCTAAGGCAAATTAGATTTGTTTCTTACTCCATTCAAAACAATAAATAGTGGACATCAACCCAAAATATAAATTCTTTTTATGTATCGTGTCAAGGCAGTTAACTTCTTGTCAATGGACGTGGATCATGATGAATGTGTGTTTTGGACTTTATTTTATGCCGTGATTAATTCTCACACACACACTCACTCTCTCTCTCAACGTACATATAAACGTGTTTGATTTTTCCCAATACGTTACAGGAAGGCTGGTTTAACCTTGTCCTGCGTTTAAGGGAAGTCGGTGCATTCTTCTTGATAGCAACATGAAGTTGGGCATGCTTAAAGGCTGAAGATCGTCACTCCAGTCTTCCCTGGTAAGAGGGTGTCAAGGTGAAGGTGTGGTGAATGGCTAGTGCTAAAGCTGCATTTATGCTTTAGAAACAGAGCATATGAGGAACTCGGGAGGCAAAGCTGGTTGAAAAGAGACTACTACTTGGTTGAATCAGGCATGTAGGCGGATCAGAGGGAGAGGAGGTCCACAAGGCATCTCTTCTTCGCTTGATTTCTGTTATCCTTTGACATGTTTGTCTAATTATTTTTGGGGTATATGCGTTTTAGTTGCAATTACAAGTTGATGAGGGGATATATTGGAGGATTTGTTGAAAAATGTGATATACAAGTATTTTAGCGCTGATTCCTCTTTCTTTTTTATTTTATTTTTTTTTTTTTTGGGGTTCTTTGGGATGTAAATATCCACCTTAATTCTCTGCGTACTTTGATCTCCTTAGCAAAGGCATTCCTTAATCGCACTAATAGTGGAGTTCCATACGAGAATTTTGGAGTTGGAGAGTTGTACGGTAAAGGACTTTTGATGCTATGCATAAAAACTCGTTTCCATGTTTGGTGAAAATTTCAGAAAGGCAAAGCTGTTTGATAAATTTGTTTGTGCCTTACGGCTCTATTGTGATGAGGGGATGCTACAATTCCAGGACTGTAATTTCACGAGCAACTGTTTCCCGGATTTTTTTTTTTTTTTCTTTGGGCTTCATGCGTATGCCGAGGGTGTGCTAGTCTCTTTATAATTCTTTCTTGAGATGGGAAGTGATATATTTGTACTCTCAAATTACTTTTTGTCACTCCTTGCTATCGTGCCATGGAGTGAGTGGATTAGAGTGTAGCAAGTTAAAATAGGGGTGTGAATATCGCACTTCCCTTTGAGATTATACCTCACCATTAATTTTTAATCAAGGTATCCTTTGAAGGTAAGTTGATCATAAAGTGCTATAAAGGTGCGAGCATTATTTGGACAGGATAGAGTATTATTTGAAATAATTATTATAGTACTGTATAATATATATTCTATGATGTGATACATGTGAGTTGAGCTTAAAAAGATGATTAAAATTATCAAAAAAATATTGAAAAAAACAAATATCATCTCGAATAATAATAATATTTGTATAGTAACACGCCCCATGCATAAAAATTCCTCCCATAGAAAGGTTAACAAAAAGTGAAGATGTGTCTAAAATGGGACATGAATACATGATGATATTTTAGCTTCACAGACACCTTTCAGATGAAAATGTTATGTTAATCAAAATAGTAGGCACTAAGAGGGATGTTTTGAGTATTATCATTCTCCATCTACATTAACGGGAAATGCCTTATACATCTGTAACACTTTTATGGCCCCATTTTCTCCCTCTCTCAGAGCAAGGATTTAGCTGGTTCTTGCATTACATTTAAGTACTACCATTTGCCACTAAATGTGGCAGATCACTTCCACCGGACGAGTGTACAGCGCACTCGTCCGGTATACATCTGTAACACTTTTATGGCCCATTTTCTCCCTCTCTCAGAGCAAGGATTTAGCTGGTTCTTGCATTACATTTAAGTACTACCATTTGCTACTAAATGTGGCAGGTCACTTCCACCGGACGAGTGCGCTGTACACTTGTCCGGTAAGTAATTCAGTCCCTCAATTTTTCTCCGGGTCTCTTCAAGTCCCTCCTCTCGTAGTATTGAATAGAATAGAATAAATGTGGTAAAAAAAAAAGTAGCAAGTAATAGTTCTGTACTGGTAAAAGTTGTCTTTGATAGGCCTTTCCCGGAATAGAAAGACCACGGTGGAGTCCATCCATCCCACCAATTGTAAGGGAAAGCTACAAGCTTTTGACCGAAAAGAAGATTTAAAAAAAAAAGGGGGGGGGGGGGGGGCTAGTCAAAAATAAGATCAGATCAATGAAAAAAAGGAGGAACAAAAATCAAAGCCAGCAATTATCACTTTGCCTAAAATCAACCGAGAATTTTGTTCCTGCTTAGCGCAAAATCAGAGGGAGCAAAAGTAATGAGCAAAGAGTATCGTCTTACGATTGAGATCATCATCATGTTCTTCTGTCGAGAAAAGCTCTCGCGATCAGAGTGTAAACTCGCCATTAAAAGTCAAAAAAAGTGGCAATTGAAAACATCCCAACATGATCCGTGATGGCGGTGGGGGGTGTGCTGCATAAGGCATACTTCTGCTAAAGAAAAGGAAAAGAGGAGAGAGAGCGAGAGAGAGAGAGATGGGAGGAAAAGAAAGAAAAGTCGCAAAAGAAACGAGATAAGAAAAAGAAAAAGAAAAAGAGAGAGGCTCGTTATCCGATGGAATGTCTAGTTCCTCTCCTTCTGCCGCTGTCTTCTTCGGTCTGGTGGCTACTGCTCTCTTTTTTTCACTCTCAGGTCCTTTCCGCATTGAATTTGATGGCAACGTATTTTTTCCGGACGCGGGCCAGCAACTAAATAAATAAATCATTCGCCATTTTAATGTTCTGTTCCCAACACTTGATTTCACACACTCTCCTTCGGCCGGCCTGTTGGCTTCTTCTTCTTGGTTCGAGAGATCTTTCCTTTTCAACTGCTATTGTTGCAAATTCAGGATGACCCATGCTGTTGTTCCTGGTACTGCATTTTGTGATCGTCTCAGGCTCACACTCTTTTGTGAATTACACAACCATATCATATATAGCTCACAGCCATTTTCATTTTCTTTTTCCTTCTTATTTTGTACCATGACCTCGACCCATCCCCAAACCAACGTTCAACGAAAGACTCTTCTGTTCTGTTCTTTTTATCTTCATCATTTTTCTTTTAATCAATCAAACCACAGCCCCAACCCATCCCCCCACCACCCTTTCTCCTCCTTTCGGCCTCTCTCTTCTACCCCTCTTTCTCCCGAGTTAAGTCGATGACCCTTTTTTTCCCTTTTCTTTTGAATTTACAAACGTCAACGCTTATACGTTCCTAGCTGTGCCTGTGCGGAAGGGGGTTTCAGTCCTTGGAAAGAAATGTCAATCTTGATCAGAAACAGTGCAATAACACACGCTACGTATGTTTTTAACCATAAGTGCAGGGCTTGTAGTCTCGATCGATAAATAGTTTACACAAAAATTTTAAAATCCTTTTGGATGCCCCGCTTGATTACTAGAGCTCTGACAAAAGTTGGAACTTGCAACAGGGCACACGCAAGACCAGTAACAAAACGAGTCTAATGCTTAAATAGAGTAATTCATACCGTTTATTATTAGACTATTTTGCCTAATTTTCGTTTTGTAAAAACTCTAAACCTTTCAAGCAGGATAGAGAGAGGAAAAGATTGAGCAAAGGTGCTCATTAGATTCCTTTCTGTCTTGCTTATTGTGGAGCAAAATTCCCCCCCTTATAGACGGATGTCTGGTAAAAAGCTAGTTAGATTCCTTTTGATATCGTGCTTATTGTGGATAAGACGGATAAACAATAAAATTTTCTATACACATGCCCAACAAGGACCAATCAATAGCAGTAAAGTCGGACATGAGAGGGCAGCGCTGTTTGGGTTTCGACAAGTATGGAGGTTTTCACAGGTCATGGTAAGGATTCCAGTTTCGGTTTCATGGGGCTCTCGATAGCCATTTAACCGATTCCGGGGGCTCATCTAAACTCCCGGTTATGATTTATTATGATCATTGAAGGACTAGTTGGTTATACAAACTTTAAAAAACTCATCCATTAGTTGACGGTCGAGGGAATTAGTTGATCTCATCTTTGATTCAAGGACATACAGATAATTATTTTCACGATCAACTACTACTGCACTCGTGACAATCGAACCTGCGGAAAAACAACTAAAGAATCATGTCTATGCCAAAACTAGAAACTAGTCAAGTTGGCCTATGTATGGAAATTTCCTCGTCAGTGTCGACTTGGCTGAAAGCCGACCTCGTCTGCAGGCTCATCCGTCGAGGAATGAAAACGTTCAAATAATAACTAATAATTGCTTTTCGTGATTTCGAGGGAAAGCAATTCAAAGCATGCTTCAAGAAGTCCTTTCCAGTTGAGTTTAATTTTGTTTTAGCAAGTAATTCAAAATCACGCTGTTCCTCTGATGTCCATGATTTTGAAACTGCTTCCCCCGCCTCGTCAAGCTTCCAGCTGAAAAATGCAGAACCAGCATCACATAGCAGGAGTAGCCTTTCCTCGAGAATATGCCGTCGAACACACTCGACCGAAGCAGGGGACAAACAAGAGCAAGATTCAGGCCTCCCTTTACCAGCAACTCGAGTAGTGATTTTCATTTCTCTGCCTTCAATTGGCCAAATTCGGGTACCCAACCACCTTGAGCTATCAGAATCACAATCTTCATCACAGCAAGGGCCAGTCCAATCTGGAACCTCAGCCTGGAATCGAGGCCCAACAGGGACAACCATTTTTTGAAGATTGTCGCCAATGAAGTTCAACAACCTAATTGATCGCCGAGTTGGCTGAAGATGTTTTTGATTGCTGCGAGTTGGCTGAAGATGTTTTTGATTGCGATCATCAAAAGCGCCTAATTTTGAGCGCTGACCAATGTCATCCATATTCAGAGGAGGAACTTCAAGGAATGTCAGGTTTCCAGGACTTGCTGGGTTTGAACAATTCACTGATTCATCAGAATCGACTAAAGAAAACACATCCTTCCAAAAGGGACTGCAGTTTATAGGTTCACACATTAAGGAAGATTCTGAATATATCTGCTTCTCCAGAAAATCATCCTCAAAGGTCAATAAACTGTTTGAACTATTTGACTCCAAGAGAACTTTTGGGTCAAAACTTTCAGCAGATTCAACTGAACTCAAGAAGCATGAAGCGGAAGATGCATGCAAGACCCGCCCTCTGCTCAGTTTTGTCCAACATTGTTGGTTAGATAACTCTGAACCATAACCAGGAAGAGCTTTTAACAACTGCTGCAGTTTCCGCTTTCTCTGCAAATGAGTAGATAGGTGCTAAATTCCATCAGTGAAATCAAATAAAGAAACTACCCTAAAAGAGAGGAATATGTACTGAAAATTATGAAAGAAGAAACTTCACTTGTGAAGGATCTTAATCATGCACAAGCAAATTATAAAATGGAATGTCATAGAATTTATGCCTGGATAAAGTTTTCTACTGCTTTGGGAATGGGAAATACATTCATGTTGCTATTTAAAAGTTTATCATCCTTGGCAAATTTCAGAATAGGTAGCTTATTGGAACTCTTGAACAAGCTACATGTACAAAGTAAAAATCATTAAAATTAGTCCATGCTTTAAGGCAGAAAAGAAAGTTAAAAAGACATTATCTCATAAATCATAAGTATCATCTCATATATAAAATATTAATAATCTCCTCCTGCACCCCTAACCCCGCTGGGCGGCCCCCGGGGGGGAGCCAAAAAGCAAAACTTAAATTACAACAGTAACTGATCCATTTTAAGGATCAATGCAAGAAACAACTTGGAAATTTGACTTGTGTCCAATAGCTCATGAAATAAATTTAAAAAGGATGCCTTAAAATAGCAAATCCTTCTACTTTAGAAGCTCTACTAGATAGATTGAAGGGGATTCCTGTTATAATAGCAGGAACCTAGGCCAGCTTTGCACTTTCAGTGAAGGCGTTTAATAGCTAGACTTCAAAGGTTGTGTGGCAGCTACATATTTCATAGCCATCTCAATATATGAATCCTTTATACAGTGCAGTGAGACCACAGCAGTGTAAATTGGGGCATTCTCCGTCTCACAAGTCAGAAGATGAAGGGGTAAACCAATATAATTTTGAGCAAAATCTAAAATAGATGTTAAAAAAAGCCAAGTCGGCATTACAGTCATGAATGCAGGTATTACCTAAGGCCTATGCCAAAATGACAAGGGCAGACTCTACAAATTCCCAAATTTGGGAAAAAAACACAATGCTTTGTCAGTAAGTGTGACCATCTTACAGCAATCTCTGCTGTATTAAGGGATGAAGGTTATCTCATATAAAAAGTACCATCACACACCAACCACAGCCCCACTCCCCCCCCCCCCCCCCACACACACACACACCAACACCAAAAAAAAAAAGGTCACTGGGCATATTGTAGTAATAAAATTCACAGAAATCCAAATTAAAACCAAATTTCTGACACGTGAAAAGGCATTAGTTTATAATCAACACACTAATGCAAAAGTTTTCTTCAAACCACATTCTCCCAACAACTAAAAAGTCTTGCAGCGATTGCATAACACTTACCAATAGCATCCTGTACTGTAAATATGGATAGAGAATTTCATGTGAAGTTGCATTAACAAAGCAGCTTATAATGGCAGTAAGACACCCCCAAGATTTTGTGAAATAAAATCGTGAAACAAAATGTAAACACCTTAAGACAGAACTAATGATTCTAAAAACTATTGAAGACTCTACAAAGTATATTTCTATTGTTTGGACCAGGTATCGGAAAACTTTTGCCTTTATGCAAACAAAAACATGTGAAGTCAATCAGCGAAAAAGAAAAAAAGGTTAAAACCTGACTATCTTAAATTGGAGAAACCAATAGAAATAGAAAAGCACCTTCAAGAAACCATAAACATTGTGTTTGTTTGCAAGGAAAAGTGTGGAAAAGTTAGCTACTTCCTTCATGCATGTTTGGTTAACATGAAAGTTGAAAAATTTTCTTTCATTTTCCTTCACTTTCCTACATTTTGTGTCCTGCAAAATTTGTAGGATTTTGAAGTAAAAAGGTTGGTTAGATACAAAAATTATAATAACTGCCAATAACTGTCACTAACTTCCCATCTTCCGTCAAACTTTTTCTTGACAACCAAGCGTAAACTGGAAAACAATTTTCATTTTCTTTTACTTCACTTTCCACCTCTATTCAAACAGATATTCTTCATAAGGGAGGGACAAAAAGAATTAACCTGACACTTTTTAAGAGAAATTTTATTTTGTTCTTGAATAACACAAAAAACCCTGTTCAATATATAGTTTATTACTAAACCAATATATTGTTGCTTGCATGAATAGAAAATTGCACCTAAATTTTATTAATGAAACCGTGCCAAAAGATTCATTTTTCAGGCTATAACTTGAGCATTTTCTGATATCAATCCTCGTAGGCACAGGCAAAAATAACTTTTGCTGATGGCTCCATGTGCAACAAATCCTTCGACACTCAATCAGTTACAGCAACAAGAGAGTATAGAGAGGAATTAACACAAGTAACTATACTGGTAGCAATATGATAAAAGCATTTACAGTACTTTGTTCCTTAACAAAAGAGTTAGACTATGAGAAACTTAGAAGAATGGGCTAAAGATCGTTAACGACACGAGAGACCAAAAGGAATAATAAGAGTGGATGAAGGGTCCAGTTAGAAGTGCCAAAGTCATCTTATAAAATGACGGCTCGTCTTTCTCTTTACAGAATTAGGTTCCCCTGTGGCCCCTTCGCCATTGGCAAACCATCATCGTTTGGGTTAGAGACACGGTTATGAAAAAAGATTTCGGAGGAACAGTTATGTGAAGAAAAAAGTTGTCAACCAACTTTCCAATTGTACAAAACCGCATAAACAAAAAGGTATCAAGGAAATATTCTTGCAAAAGTAGCAGAGTTCAAATCTCACCCGAGGAAATTCCGTATCAGCCATAGCCATAGCCTTGCGCACTCTAATAGTCTGAGTCCACAAGGGTCGAATTTTGCTCTGTGAATATTCTGAATTACAAGGATCCAGAGCCAGTCCTTTCAGCTGAGCTACCAATTCTGCATCCGAGTATTGTCCGAAAACTGAGCTTTCTTTCATAACCTTGCCAGCTTCCCGTAAAGAATCTTCACTGTTGCTGTTTCTTCCCCCCCTCCTGGCCGACAATTTTCCAGTCATCTTAGTCTCGTCGACCAAGACGTTGTCGGACTTATATACTATCTCCTGAATCCAACCCTGAAATTATAGAAAAAAATATACCCAGCATTGTCATAGCCCAGCAGTGTTTTGGGTTCACCTCGTATACAACAGATCTCATCAACCTAGGAAGGAAACATATCCCAGAAAATACATAATTAATGTAATGCAGTTCAGCCCATTAAATATTCGATTTGACTCAAGTTAAGCTCATGTTTTCCCAGTTAAAAAGGAAAAAAGGCTTTCCCAGTAAAGTGATGTTAAGGAGTTGCAATGTATTATTCACAGCACCCAATCTCTCCACTGCACAAAAAACAATAAAAACAAATTATAAAATCAATTAAAACAAAACCGCATTTAGCTATTTAACCCAAGCGAAAAAAATAATAATAATAATAAAGCAAAGAAAAAAAGAAAAGAAGAAAAAAGAAAAGAAGAAAAAAAGCCCCCCACACACACAGAGAGACGGGATAAACTATCAGGTTGGATTAATGAAACCCTAACCCTAACGTCGGAAAACAATGGTCACCCGACAAATGCAATTACACAGAGACTAAAGAGCCCTATTTTTCTAATAATTGAAGCTACCAAGAACAATTAATAAATCTATATTTATACATGCATATAACCGCGTAATCTATGCTTCAACGTGTAGGTGTTTGGGTATATTTATGATGCAGGGAGAAAAATTGAAGATGGGATCTAGTAAAGAATACGGGGCAACTGCAGACACAGTAATTGAAGTTATGTTTTGGTTGATTAGAGCTACACAAATCATCTACTTGTATGCTTTATAGTAGTACATCTTAATTATGCATTATATAGATATATATATATATATATATATATCTATATAAAGAAATAAACTATGGAGTGTACAAGTTTGGGATATCAATGGTGGCCTCGCTGGATTTGCAGCGAGGCACCGAGTGGGCGTGTGTGGTGGGCACGGGAATAATAAAACCAAAGAGAAAAAGAAAAGGTCGGACCTCAGGCGGATTAACTGCGACTTTTCTTACGGCACTGTCCTCCTTGTTAGTGGCCCTTTTGTTGGACGCTCGAATTCCATCCAACCAGGTAATACTTGATCGGATAAGTTAAAAAGTGAAAATCATATATAAATACTCCAACACATATTAGCTTGATCCCTTTTACGCCTCTCATCATATGTATAAAATAGTTAATTACAATTAGTAAACTTCATTTTTCAATTTATTCTTTAATTTTTTTTATCTCATTTTATCCCCTATGGGATAAAATTACTCCTCTATCATTCTAATTTTTTTTCTCTCTTTTATATTTATTTTCTTTTCCCTTCATTTCTCCTTTATTTTCTCTGTCTCTTTCTTTTTTGTTTACTTCTTCCTCTTTCTTATAAGGAATTTCATCTCCATGATTGAAACTAAAAAACATAGGTTACGGAGATTTGTGTTTTTCTCAAATGATTACAAAAATATTCAAACCCATTCCCTGAAATACCATTTTTTGACCGTGCAATTCTTTTGCTTTTTCCCCTTCCTATTCCAATTTTTCATTTTATTATCAAGAGAAGATCACAAGATGAATCTATACACATCAAAATATTTAAAAAAACACACTTCAAAAAAACTTATACAGTAAGTTATAGTAAAGTTTTAGACAAATACTCAAAAAACTCACTTGTCAAGCGGGGCCGAAAAGTGCATATGTCCTGCAGAAACCTCCCCTGAGGTTTCTGACATTTGCACTGACCTCCCCCGTGGTTTGAAAAATTACACTGACCTCCCCTAAGGTTACTAATCCTTTGCAAATCTAGTCCAAACGATTAAAATATTGTTTTAGAGAGTGAAATTATAAGTTTTTACCAATTTTGTCCTTTGTATTACATATCCAATGAATGACAAAGTACTACAAATCAATTAACAATTAATAAACTTTAAGGAGTATAGTTTATAGGCAAATACGCATTACCTATTTAAAGTACCGGCTCTTTATGGATATTTTATTTTTAAAAATTTAATTTAATACAAATATTTATGCTCAAATACAGATTTGTATTTACTTTCAAATATTTAATTTTTGTTAAATACAAAAACTACCAATCTCTGTTCTGTAAAAATATTAATATAACACTTTTTTCAATTTTAGTTACAAACATTTATGTATTTAACATAAATTAAATGATTCATGATAAAATGCCCATAAAGAGCCAATACTTTATTCATGTAATGGATGATAGCCATAAAGAATTAATATTTTATGGGTCATTTCTTTTTTAAAAAAATATTTAATTTATATTAAATAAATAACCTATCGATTTCCTTTTTGCAAAAATATTACTGTAATATTTTTTGAATTTTACTTACAAACATTGATATATTTATCATAAATTAAATGTTTGAAAATAAAATACCCGTAAAAGACATGTAATTTAAATGAGTAATGCGTGTTTGCCCATAAAGAACCGGTAACTATTTAAAGTACCGGTTCTTTACGGGTATTTTACTTTTAAACATTTAATTTAATACAAATATTTACGCTCAAATACATATTTGTATTTACTTTCAAATATTTAATTTTTGTTAAATACAAAACCTACCAATCTCTCTTCCGTAAAAATATTAATATAACATTTTTTCAATTTTAGTTACAAATATTTATGTATTTAACATAAATTAAATGATTCATAATAAAATACACATAAAAAGCGAATACTTTACTTATGTAATGGATGAAAATCATAAAAAATTAATACTTTATGGGCCATTTTTTTAAAAAAATATTTAATTTATATTAAATAAATAACCTACCGATTTCTTTTTTACAAGAATATTACTGTAACACTTTTTAAATTTTACTTATAAATATTGATATATTTATCATAAATTAAATGTTTGAAAGTAAAATACCCGTAAAGTGTGAGAACCCGTAATTTTCTCATTTTCTATGTTTTATTTTCCTTAATGGCATGTTTTCTGTATTTTCTTTATTAGGAAAATTTTCCCGATAATTTTAATGAGTAAACATAGTTTTTAGATGATTTTTCTAGTATCGGTTAGGTTTTGAGAAATTAAGAGCGTATACCGGATGTGGGGCGCGCAAGTGCGGAAAGTTCGGAAAAATTCGGCCAACTAGGTTAAGTTTTGGATACTGGTATGAGAGGAAACAAAGTGATAGCTATGTATTTAATGAAGCGACAAGTGTCACTTAGAGATTTGTTGTATTTTATGACTACTATTCACCTTTTATCATTTGACCAAATAAATTAAAAAAATTACCAAAAATTCACCATTTTCTTCCTCATCTTGGCCGGCCACTTCAAACAAAAAGAAAGGGAAAAACTCTTCAAATTCTTGCTTTCATCTTGCTCAAATTCAACAAATCAACCATTTGATCTTGCATTTGTTCCATAAAATCCCTACACTTAGTGATTGTGAGGTGTTTATTGGAGTTGTTTGGAAGGCTAAGGTGATTGGTTGCTCTCTCTCTTGTATTACTAAGGTGAGTAGTGAAGGAACCCCTCTCCTCCATCTAATGATGTTTAATTCATGATCTGTGGTAGCCTAAGAGGTAATTTTGTGGATTATATCTTGATTTTGGTTGAATTTGGTAAAGTTTTATATTTATTGGTGATTTTTCTGTTTTCAAAAGATTATTTTTGTGTGGACATGTATGATGATTGGAAATGATATTGAAGGAAGCTAGAAGGTGGAAAGTGTGGTTAATTGCAGAAAAATTTATGTTTTGGAAGGAAATTTGGAAAGTTAGGGTTTCATTTCCTTCATTCTGCCCGGCACGGTTCATCATAGTTAGAGGCCGAATTAGTCTTGGTTTAAAACATGAAAGTTGTAGGGAATGATATTTTAAAGTTGCCTGCAAAATTTCAGGCCAATTGAAGTAGCGTAACTTGTGAAAAAACTGAAATACCCCTGCTGCCCCTGTTTTTACCTGAACTTGAGAATTGCTTCTGTAATTGATTAATTTGGTTGGGAATACTTCTGATTTGGTTGTTGAGGTCTTCTGAAGAAATGTAGCCTGATGTCTTAGCTTTTGGATGGCTTTGGAATCACTTGATTTGGACTTAGGTAGCCTGAATTACAGTTCGTTAACCAGAATGCGGTTTGTTCACCTGTTTTTACGGTTCTGGTTTAGTATCCTGCATTTTTTACCTAGTTGCACTGTGAACTGGACTGAGTGACCTTCTGCAACATTGTAGCCCTATTTGTTAGCTTCGAAATGGTGTATCTTGTACCTCCATCCGATAATCGTAGTGCCAATGGTGCCAAAACCGTAAAATTTTGTCAAAAACTGTTTTTTGGATTAGAGCTTAATTCCATTTCCGGATTTCCTTGGTTTACTCTAGTGCGTATACATTCTAGTGGAACCTTATTTTGGTGGTATGTGGATTTGGTTATGACTTGTAATTGAGTCTTATTATGCTTATTTGAATGTTTTAGGACGTGACGGTGGTCCAAGACGCTCATTGAGCGGAAGTTGATGAAATCTCATTTGCTTGCTTGGTGAGTGTACTACTCACTTGTTTGTTTACAATGTGGCTTTGCTATACTTGAACTTGATGCCTTGAGGGCCTATTTGCCATTGAAACTGATTAAAGTGAGGGTGTACTTGATCGCTCTCACCCTTTTTTGTACTATATACGACTGTTTACTGTTTCACTGTGGTATTTAAATGATACCTGATACACTAGATTTGGTGTCGTTTGAACGAGTATCCAACGGCCATTACTGTTATTACTGAGCTCAACCCCATTGGTAGTCAATTGAATCGAACCAGCGAGGGGTTGGTCGTGAAAGTTGACGAACCATGGGGACTGTTATATGGAATCTTGTAGTAGTGAGACTCTTGATTCCGGTATACTCGAATATTACCAAATTTATGCTGTTTGGAGTTCGGGCCCGGTAGGGGTATGTTGGGTGGAAGGAATGGAAGTAAAGTAGAGCCTACGGTTGGTTACTCTTAAACATTGATGGAGGGTCAATGAGATTCGATCAAGAATGCAAGCGATGAAAGGGCTCTTGAGAACCGCCGGTATCCTTTTATCAACTCTATTAATGTGTGCTCTTGGTTTATTTTTGATGATTTGAAATGAAAAGTTTTATGCTTATATGAACTTGGTTGCTTGAGTGATAGTATCTCACTGGGCATAAGCTCACTCTATTCCGTTTGTTTTCCTTACAGGAAATTGAATACTTTTGGAAAGGCGATGAATATGGATTGTCGAGTTGAGCTTATGTATATATATATTTTGAATAGCTCCTTTTGGGCAAAACCTTAAACTCATTTTGATTCAACTCATCGTTGAATTGTAATTTGCAATCGTATATGTATAAACTTGTGGGATAATTTGGTATGCCATTTTGGTATGTAAATGTTGAATTTCAAAATGTGTATGTTTGCGTGATGTATGGCCGGATTTTGACGTGGCCGGTACTATTCATGGCCAGCTCCAATTTTCATTTTTTTATTTTGTGATTGTGACTTGTTTAAGCGCGCTTGTATATTCCAGAACGTCTTAGATCGCGTTGAACTGTCTCGTAGTCCTGGCGAGAATTGGGCAGACAGTCTGCTAACCCCTTTGATTCGCTTTAGGGGAAAGTGAGGCTGTCACATAAAGAGCCAGTATTTTAAATAGGTAATGCGTATTTGCCTATAAACTATACTCCTTAGAATTTATTAATTGTTAATTGATTTGTAGTATTTTGTCATTCATTGGACATGTAATACAAAGAACAAATTTGGTAAAAACTTCTAATTTCACTCCCTAAAACAATATTTTAATAGTTTGGACTGAATTTGCAAAAGAGTAGTAACCTCAGGGGAGGTCAGTATAATTTTTCAAACCATAGGGGAGGTCAATGCAAATGTCAGAAACCTTAGGGGAGGTTTCTGCAATTATCCCAACTTTAAGGGCAAAATAAAAAAATCGCAAGGGAAAAAGTAAAAATGTTATATCGCATTTCTTTCTTCTTCGTTCTATCTTTTTAGCCAAGAATGTAACAGTAGCCATGACAGCCTAATATATGACACCTAATATATATATTACCATATGATCACGGTTAGACAGATAACTATAGGTATATATTAGCTACAGCGGCCAGCCTCAACCGTTCCCATCGTCCCCTGGCGCTCGATTACGGATATGGAGACTTAGAACTCGGGATGTGTTTATGTCAGAAGAATCTCAGCCGGCACTGGAGTTACCCCGTCCTCGTCATATCGCACAGGCGCTAATCTTCAACAGCACATAAAAAAGGAAACGACCATGCTATGATGAGACCACGCATTCCTATTGGTAACCCTTCAGTTCTCTATGGCTCAACTGCCCAAAAACCTCACTTCCAAACATCTCTTAAAGCTCCTCAAATCCGAAAAGAATCTCAACTCAGCGCTCTCTCTTTTCGACTCTGCTAGTCAACACCCGGGTTATACCCACACCGCCGTCGTCTTCCACCACATCCTTCGCCGCCTCTGCCTTTCCAACTCGAATGGGAAACTTCCGCCTCGCATTGGCGAAATCGTTGATATGATCCAAACCCAGAAATGCCAGTGCTCTGAGGACGTTGCATTGACCGTGATCAAAACGTATTCCAAGAACTTACTCGTCGACAAAGCAGTTGAAACTTTTCAAAACATGGTGGAAATCTTTGGGTGCGGACCCGGTATTAGGTCGTACAATACTCTGCTCAACGCTTTTGTGGTGTCAAATCAACTGAGCAAAGCGGAGTTGTTTTTTAGATCCTTTGAGACAATGGTGGTGGTGCCAAATTTAGAAACCTACAACATTTTGATCAAGCTTTCATGTAGGAGGAGGAAATTTGATAACGCTAAAGAGCTGCTGAATTGGTTGTGGGACAACGGTTTCAAGCCTGATGTGTATGGTTACGGGACATTGATTGATGGGCTTGCTAAAGTTGGGGATTTGCGCAGCGCCTTGAAACTGCTCGACGAAATGTCTGAGAGGGGTGTGATTCCGGACGTGACATGTTACAATATCCTAATTAATGGTTTTTTCAAGAAAGGGGATTTAGCGGGAGCTAATGAGACGTGGGAGAGGATGATAAGGGGATCAAGTGTCTATCCAAGTGTGATTAGCTATAATGTTATGATTAGTGGGTTGTGCAAATGCCGAAGGTTTACTGAGGCTCTGGAGTTGTGGAGCAGAATGAGGAAAAATGAGCGGAAAATGGATTTGTTTACATGTAGCTCGTTGATTCATGGGCTGTGTGAGTTAGGGAATATAGATGGGGCAGAGTCAGTTTTTGCAGAAATGATTGACACTAAGGTGTTTCCTGACGTTGTTGTTTATAATGCAATGCTTAATGGATATGGCCGGGCTGGGGATATTAGGAGGAGCTTTGAGTTGTGGGAGTTGATGGGAAGGGAGGGTTGTCGCAATATTGTTAGCTTCAACATTTTTATGAGAACTTTATTTGAGAATGGAAAGGTGGATGAAGCAAGTGCACTTTGGAAGCTCTTGGTGGAGACTGAACTATCTGCTGATTCTGCAACTTATGGAACTTTAGTTTATGGGTTTTGTCAGAATGGACTCCTTTTCAGGGCTTTGTTGGTCTTGGAAGAGGCAAAAGATAAAGGAAATGTTCTTGATGCTTTTGCATATTCAGCAATGATTTCTGGGTTATGCAGAGAAGGTACACTAGACAAAGCAGTTAGGGTGCTTGCTCAGATGATCAAATGCGGCTGTAAACCAAATTCCCAGTTGTGCAATGCACTTATTGATGGATTTGTCCAAGCTTCTAAGATCAAGGACGCTCTCAAGCTTTTACACAAAATGAACAGTATAAACTGTTCCCCAAATATTGTCACTTATAACACGATTATAGATGGACTGTGCAAAGGTGAAAGGTTTGCTGAAGCATATGAGCTTGTGAAGGAAATGCTGGAAAAAGGATGGAAGCCGGATATGATTACATATAGCTTGTTAATGAGAGGTCTTTGTCAAGGCTATAAGATTAACTTGGCCCTTAACTTGTGGAGCCAAGTTGTCAGCAAGGGTTTGACGCCAGATGTTACCATGCACAATATAATGATTCATGGCCTCTGTTTGGCTGGCAAAATTGACGTTGCTTTACATCTGTATCTCAACATGAGTCAGTTGAACTGTGTGCCAAACCTTGTTACTCATAATTCTCTAATGGAGGGCTTTTATAAAGCCAGGGACTGCAAAAATGCATTAGTCATCTGGGCTCGCATTTTGAGAGGTTGGCTTCAGCCAGACATCATTTCATATAATATCACCCTCAAAGGACTTTGTTCTTGCAATAGAATGTCGTATGCAATGTCATTCCTGAATGATGCTTTGAGTAAGAAAATTGTTCCTACCATAATCACTTGGAACATACTTGTCAGAGCAGTTCTTATTGAACGGGCTTCAACATAATCTTGGTTCTAGATCTTGAAAAGTTAGATTTCTAAATCTTACTAACTCTTATTGGCTTAGCCTCCTTGTTTTGCTTCTTTTATTGATTGATTAGATTTAATAGATCACCATTTCGATTGCAGCTTGAGTCTCATATGGTTAAACGTTGGTGTTCGAATTTATGCGAACTCCACTCAAGCAAGACAAGTTCCTGCTATCGGTATGCAATAGTTTGAAGTTCATATTGCAAGTCAACTCTATCAGGTTCTCAAGTTACCTCGTGGATGTGAAATGACAGATATTACAGACTATATGAGCATTACTTTCTTTCTTCAAAGAAGTGATATTTGAATAGTGTTTCCCAAGATTAAGGATCTACTGCTTTTCGTGTTCTGCATCCTAAGATTATTTTGGTCTTGCAGGTCAGTTGCAAAAAGCATTGGTCATGTCAACTGTGAAGGCACATTTGCGTTCGAAGTTCCTAGAATCTTGGTATCCAAGTCACCAAACCCTTATTCCTGTCATAAATGCATATAATTCTGGACTTCTTGTCCACGTGAAAGTTGCTTTGAGAGTTTGTAAGGCATAAGCCATTATATGGTAACTGTGGTGAATTTTTGGTTCAGGTACGGATGGATTGAATAGATGAATCATGTCTACTTATAGCATTGGGCTTAAGGTTTGAGTAGGTTGATAATTTTTCCTGGGAGTTTTGTTAGCAAACTGATTTGCACTTAATTTTGCAGCTTCTTTGCTGAACCACAGTTTAGCTGGCCTAAGTGATAGTAGTACATGCAGCAATTTTAAGTGATTTGTTACAGGTCTGGAAGCTTCAGCTTTTAGTCTTTTTCAATTCACATATGCTTCATGTGTCTTGGTTGTATTCTCATTGGTAAATTTCCATTGGAAAGCATCAAAAAAGAAGGGTTTGGTGGTCGTAGTGGGATCTCCAGAACCTAGCAATGATGCAAAACTAAATTTGCTTGATGTATTAGCCCCAAATGGTAAGACCTTATTTGGGGTTATAACTCATGCGACACTGAAATTGTTTTCTCTTAAACTGCTATAGTGAAATCAAATATCTCAGTGGTGTGGGGAGAAAAAAAATCAGTCTTTATCTACTTTGCTTTTTTTTTGTTCTGTTTTTTCTGTCTCTGACAACATCATTTGCTCGTAGAGGAGTTGAGAAAGCAAGCCCACCAAGATTGCTCCAAGAACTGCTACCTTACGCCAGTCAGATGATGAAGTGATCGACGCATCACAAATTCCAATAAGTACCAAGCCTATTAGTGCAAGGTAAATGTTCCTCCTAGTTTTAGATCCAGCATTTTCCTTGGCAAGCTCTCTAAGCTTCATTCTCTCCTCCTCAGCTCTCTCTTTTCCAGGGGGTGTTTTCTGGCGCAAGTTCTTGAAGAACAGACCTTCGTTTCTGTCCTCCTCAATTTGGCCTTCGAAGTCTGCCAACTTCCTGTCACCTGCTTCAATCTCCTGCTTATTCAATTCTGCCGATTCTTCAAAGGCTTGCATCTGGCTCTCTATGTTTTCCATAATCTGCTCAAGAAAATTAGTTGAAGTGGTTATAAGTTAATTTCCTAGCAGATATTATGTTCTTGATAAAGGAGAGATCAAACAGACCCTGGAGCCAGCTTCATCAAGTTCTTTGAGAGCATTTTCACCTATTTGATCAATTTCAGCATTGGCTTCTTCAGCAAACTGGGTCAGATATGCTGACCTTTCATCTAAGTAATCAGTAAGACGTAGTTTTTGGGCTTGCAACATTGCTATTCGGGCAAGCAATTCCTGCTTTCTTCTATCTCCTTCAGGTGGCGGGATTCCCGAATCTGATTCGTTTGCCTTGCATAGGAGGAGGTTGGTGTACTTCCTCTTGGAGTAATCTCTTCCCCGGAGTAAAGCGTGCTTGTTTGGAGTACAAGGGGATTGAAATGCTTTTAGGGACATCATATTTGCTGTCATCCAAGTAAGAGCAGCGGAAGAGAGAGAGAGAGAGAGAGAGGGAGAGGGCAATTGTGCAAGAGCTGCGGAGGCGTTTTGAACCTCTCATTAAGTTGCATTATCTCGTCGGCAAGACCTCTGTCTGACTTGTATGGATTTGTTTTTATTGGTTTAAAAAGCAAATTTGATGCTACTCCCTTTGAACAACGGCTCGTTTATTGGTCATCACAAAAGAATTTAGAGACTTTGTAGGACAACGGTTCAACTATTGTCTCTCAAGAGTTCGTTAAACTCCCAAGAAAAAGTACAGTATTGTGCTGACAAAATTACCGAAGTTTACTGCTGGTGATTGCTTAATTGAAGTTAATGGAGTTGTGTGGTGGGGCTCAGGTGTTGCAAATCTAAGCTGAGGCAGCAGTCAAGTCGTTTGGGAAACATGAAGATTACGTGGAATTTTCGAGTCATTTGAGAAAAGGAGCTTTTGAGTCGTCCAATTTGGAGATCCAAAGTTTTTTTTTTTTTTTTTAAAAGAAAAGAAAGAATTAGGCAGACAGCTTTTGAATGTATGTATGTTTTTGACAACATTGCTTTTAAATATATAACTGCAGTTAAATGGCGATGAAGCAATTGATAGACCGAGGAAATTGTGATAGAGAAAATACACACAGTACTATATATTATTTTTATTCAAAATCCCATTAGGAAAAGGTGAACCAGTCATAAAGCAGCGATAAACTTGAGTTGAGTGTACGCGCATGCATGGCAGGGCAGGTAGCCCACACTGTTCAATTCAGACCTCCGTTTTGAAATTCGGACCATGACTCGGACAAGTTCAGTGGATTAGGGAGCAGTGGGCTGAGGTCGGATCGGTATAAGAACCGATGACGTAAATCATGATATCTTAAATAAATAAATATATTAATTTTATTTAAGTAAATAACATTAAAAACTGACTATAAGTGTGGTGAAAATCCTTGCCCATCAAGTTCATAAAAAAAAAAAATAATAACTTAATTGTAAACTCAACAAATGATAAATAACATCAACTAGTTAATAAGACTTTCAAATAAAACACAAAAATCAAAATTTTAAATTTATTGGTTAATGTTCTTAAGATTCAAATGCATATTGTCAAGAGAATGAACAAATTGAGGCTCATTTTTTAAAATATAAAGTCAAATTTGCACATAGAAGTTTGAGAGTGTATTCACGATTATTTAAAACATCAAGGGATTAAAATCAAATATTTAACAAGTTGAAAAGCACCTTTTTTGAATGTTGCAAATGAAAATCAAGAAATTTCACAGGAACTTGTATAGTTATCCAAAATGTTCGAGGAGAAAAATAAAATACTGAAAACCTTAGGGGGTCTAACTCTAATTCATTCTCTTATGGCCTTTATTTCTCAGCCGTTGGACTCTGTTTCATCAGTTTCATCTTCCAATTTCAACTTCGTCTTTTCCTCCGTTTCTTTTTGTGTCAAATTTTTCTTCCTATCTAGTTCCGTGGTTGACTTTCTCGTCTTTATCTAATCAAACAAATTTGAACTGCAATGTTCTTGTTCTTTTACTTTCCCTTCTATCTCTCTGTTCTTTTTATTTTCTGCTTTCTCCTTTTGATTTGGGTATAGGTTTTTAGATCTGTTTCTTCTTTTCCTTAGTTTTCTTTAAGGAGTGTGAATGGAGCAACTTCTCCATTGCAGATTCGTTCCTGCTATTGATTCATTTGAAGATTTGGGGAGCGACAGGCTGAATTTTTTATTTTTTTGCCTAGAAAAAATTTAGAAACTTAGGAAAATAGAACCGGGCTTTGTGGCAGATTTGGTTTTCCAGTTTAACCCAATGTTTTAAAAACCGGACCGTTAATTGAACCGGTGAAGTAAAAGGGTCGAGATTCAACCGGTCGGACCGGTTCAACCTTGGTTCAATGAATTTTTAAAAAAAATTATTTATATAAATATATATATGCACAAAATAAGACATGTAATGGACTAATTTAATACTTTACATGATAAAAAATTTACTATTTTTGAATAACTTGGATTTTTAAAAATAAATTATTTATTTTTGAATTATAAGTTTAAACAAATAAATTTCATCTCAATTTCAATTATATCTACCAAAAAATCTTAAATCCAACCCAAAAATATCACAATATTTTGAAATTATACAAAATTCACGTCTATGAGAATTTAGACATTGTGAATTTAAATTTTAATTTGCGTTTTGGGATTTAGAGATTGCAATTTAAAAAAGAAAGTTTGGAGTTCGAAAGAAGTCAAAAGAATCGAAAATAGAAATGCAAACTTGATAAGAAATAAAAAATGAGATAAAAGTAAGTGATTGTGGCATTAAATAATTTTGGTTTAAAAAATAATTCTTTTTTAACTTTTTTAATTTAATAGACAAAAATAAAATTAAAAGATGTAAGAAAACATCAATAAATTAAAAATAAAGATGTTTGATTAAAAAGGGAGTGACAAAAGAAAAGAGGATAGAAAAAGAGAGAGAGTTGAAAATTAAAAAGAAAGAACCATGAGATGATGAGATTTTATAAGAAAAATAGAAATAAGAAATATGAGTGTTTGTTTTATATAAATAAGTTATAAAAAAATTAATAAGATGTGATAGTGCAACGGTTGCTATATTGGTCTTCTATTACGAAGGTCATGAGTTTGAATCTTGAAAGTTACATTTTGCAAAATGTAAAAAAAAAAAAAAAAAAAAAAAACTCGAAAACCGGAAAAATCGGTTCAATTCTGTTTCGACGGTTTTCACGGTTCGACCGATTTTTGACTAGTTTTCTAGCATGGTCAACCCTAACAGAGAACTGGACCGATGCAATGACTAGTTCATTGTTCAACTGGTCGAACCGGCCGATCCGGTCTGATTTTCAAAACATTGGTTTAACCTCGGTTCTTGACCGATTTTGACCAGATCTCTGCCACCCGATTTTTTATATTTACTCGGATCGAATACTCATCTAGGGCCTGTTTGGAAGGTCAAGTTTTTGACAAGTTTGTATGCTACTAGTTTTTTAACAACTTTTGCTACAGGACCCCAAAAAACTTCTCAAAATTTTTTTATTCACACACTTCAAAATACCCAAAACACACAAAAAAAAATCCATTCCCTTTTTTTCTTCTTCCTTCCCCCATCCCAACCGACCACCACCTCTGCCGCCGTTTCCTTTTTTTTTTTTGCCTTTTTCTCTCTCCCCGCCATCTTCCCCTGCCATCCTCTCATTTTACCCAGTTTGTATGACCCTTTTTTTAAAAAAAAAAAATTCCTTTCCCCCACTCCTCCCCCATCACCCTGCCCCTTCCCCTCGGGCCGATCTGGTAGTGAGGCTAGATCGTACCGGGGAGGGGGATTTCACACAAGATTCTAGCTTTCCGGTTCCATTGCCACGGATCGGAGACTGATTCAGTAGCGGTGCAGTTAATTCATCTGCGCCATCTCCATGTTGCATCGGAGACGCCGCTGAGTCTTCGCCACCGCGCATCGCTACATGACAAGACGGAGATGATGCAGCAACCGAGTCGGCTGCGCCGCGCAAGGGAGAGTCAAGCGACTGCCTCTGCGGTGGAGAATCATGACTGAAAGGCGGCGATCGGTGAGGCGAGCCGGAGGCAGATAGCCTGGCGCCGGAAGATGAAGCCTAGCGAGGACGTTGGTGATTGCCTTTCCATTTCAGGTGCGACAATGAGAAATTGTGAAGCGGCTGAGATTTCACCGGCATTGTCGACGCCATTGATCGAAACGGTAAATCTCCAGCAGGCGAGAGAGTAGGAGGAGGGGCTGGTGGTGGTGTCGTAGGTGGAGCAGGTGGAGGCGTGGGATGAGGGGCTGGAGGAGGCCTTGGCGGAGGTGCTGGAGATGGGGCCAGTGGCGGAGTAGGGGGTGGAGCAGGCGGAAGTGCTGGAGGTGCTGGAGGTAACGGGGAAGGGGGAGGGGGAAGGAAGAAGAGGAAGAGAGGAAAGAAAAGAAAAAAGCAAGAAAGAAAAAGAAAAAGAAAGAGAAAGAGAAAAGAAAAGGAAAAAAAAGTTTTTCCCCTACAAAAAAGTTTTTCACCTTATAAAAACTTCTAAAAAATTTTTTTAAAAACTTTTACAGTGCACTACAGTAAAATTTTAGACAAACTCCTAAAAAACTCGATTCCAAACAGACCCCTAGTTCTTGATTTAGCCGATCGGTCTGCTCTGAGCTTTAAAACACTGTTTAATACCATCATTGACGGCTCACTCAATGTCTATTTCTATTTTTTTTTTTTTTTTACAAGAGATTGGGTTAGGTCAGCATGATTGATTGAGGAGGGGCGTTTCCATCTCCCTCTTGAGGTGCCATGAACACGGCTATTTTATCAAACTGGTCTTTAGCCACAATCACGTCCAAGGCAATGGAGATCAAATACGTACTCACATTCATATTTTATGCAGAAAACAGGGAAAAGAAAAGAAAAAAAGAAAAAAAGAAAAAGAAGAGAGAGTACGGACCGTGTTTTGTAGCTTTGGTAAAATTCACCAATAAATTACCTTCTTCCACTTCAAGATGGTTTGTAACGTTTTCTGGTATTTAATTTGTTCTGTAGTTGTAGCCATTTTTTTTTTCGAGAATAGGCATTTAACAGGGAAAAAACTAAACTACACTCAGGACACACCAAAGAGAGTCTCACTCAATCTAGGGGGGAACCCATAGAACTTCACCATCATCAAGCCTTGTGCAATAATGAAATCCAAAATAGGACTCGGATGAAAGTTTATGTCATTCTTTCCGTGAGTAGTTAAGGCTCAAAATTCAAATTATTGGGTCATCTCAGCGAGATTTTTAGAGTTTTCATCGCTATAAAATTCAGGAAAAGATATGAGAAGGGATAGAAGGGCTAAAAAAAAGAAAACAATTCAAGATGGGGATGAAAAGGGATAGGAGGGTTGAAAAAAAAAAAAAGAAACAACCAAAAACGAGTAATTTCAATGGGGGTGGGAAGGGATAAAAGAAAGAAACAACTCAAAATCAAGTAATAATTTCGAAGTGAGAAACAAAAAACCAAGCATTTTTAGCATTTTACTGGTTTATCCGACGTCCCCTTGATTAGGTTCGTGGCTTTGTTCGGCACATCTCCGCAATAAGAGAGAGTCAATCTGCCACCTTAATTAAACTGTGGAAACTAAAACATGGTAATGATGGCATCACCACTAAGAAGGGACGATAAAGTCCGCCACCAGCTCATGCCAAAACAGTAAGAATCAGTTTCAAACGCTAAAACTCAACCACAAATAAATATTTTAGGATTTAGTACAAGTACCAATCATCATTGTGTTCAAGGATCCATCAATCAACTGGGAAGGAGGTAGATAAAATGGGCTGATGAGACAATGAGTGAGTGAGTTAACCAAGTAATCTGATGCTAGTTGGCTTAGCCTTAGCGTTCAAACTATGTACATATGATGTCCTCATGGCGGTGGGAGCTACAAGAAACTGACTGATGTATACCTGAAAGGAATTTGAC